TTCTTCTTTTGCAGCTTCAAGTGTCATCTGAAAGGCTCTCGCCTTCAGCTTTGGTGGAAGATTGGGCTTTGCTGCATCCTTCTTCTTCGGACAGTCTTTCAAAACGTGCCCTTCTTCGTTACATCCAAAGCATACCCTCTAGTTGGACGGACACTCGTTGGCATAATGCCCAGTCTTTCCACATTTGTAGCAAGTCACCCCCCCCCCACTCACTATTTCCCAGAGTGCTTTTTCTTGCACTTCTCACACCATTTCACTTCGCCTCCTCCTCCTCCTCCAAACTTCTTGGACTTTGAAAATTTGCTTTTTTGGTCGGAACCTGAAGTTCCTTCAAATTTTCTCTTTTCGCCAACTTCTGCCCTCTCCAGACCCTTCTCTCTGATCTGAATCTCAACATTCTTAGCAGCCCAGATGGCGCTTTCAAAGTGGTTGCTTGCTTGACCATCGGACCAAAGTCCGCTGAATCCGAGGGCAAACTTGTTGACCTTAGAGAGTTCAGTTGGAACTAAATGAGGAACAAGCTTTATCTTTTCCGTAAAACTAGCAGCGTATTTAGTAACGCTCATCTTTCCCTTCTTCAAATTCTGGAACTCATTATTAATTCCAGAGATCTGCTCAGAGCAGTATTGCAATTTCAGTTGTACCATAAAGTCTTCCCAATACATCTTGCTAGCTTCTCCCTTGGGCATCGAATCAGCTAGTAACTTCCACCAGCTCAATACACAGATTTTAACAGAGGAATTGCAAGTGCGGTCTCTTTGTTTGTTGCTGCACTCACAACTTTCAAACACGTCTCCATTCGGGAGATCCAATTCATGACTCCATCCACGTGTCGGACTTCCAGATAGACACGTGGTTTAGATGCCATGAAATCTTTGTATTTGCATCCGCGTCCATCAACTCCTCCATCCTGGTTGTTTTGTCTAACTATTCGGTGGGTTGGCTTGACCAAGAGTCCCACTGTAGTTCCCTCCTACTGATTGCCCTTCATTCAATTCGGGCTGTTCAACAGGTATCATAGTTTCTTCCCTATTCTGTTGTAGTAATCGCATTGTCTCCTCCATTTGGCGATCTAACATCATCTGCATCATTGCTTGTACCCCAGCCATCGTCATTGGCTCAGGTGCAACTCCTACAACAGGTACTTGCTCTCACTACTTGGGGTTGAGGTTGTTGATCCTGTTTTCGTTTGCATTTGCACTCCACTGCGAGTTCTTGCCATTATATATATACCGAATAAGGCGAATTTAGGTCTTTATCCTCGATAGGTATTTAAATTCCCTTATCACTCCGACACGTTTACATGTTAGTTCTAATATCGTAATCGTACGCTTAGAATCCTACACACATAAGGTTTCCAGATCCGGTAAGCAACAGACCATAGATCCGAACAAATAATGGAATATATGGCAAACATATAGCATTTATCACATAAAAGCATTTTAGGCATCTTTCCTAAAAAAACTAGTGCTCGTGTCTAAAATATGGTAGACACTCATCTCACAATCATCACTTAGCATTCTAAGTTTAAGTCTAGAATCCTAAAAATTTCTTAGTTCGCTTAACTAATGCTCTGATACCACTGTGACATCCCCTAATTTCTCGGCCAGAAAAGACCGATTTAATTTATGCTTTTTAAAAAAGTCAGAGAAATCCTTTAAAAGATGTTGCGGAATTGGTCCCCCAAACAAAACATGATAAAAGTTTGTCAAAACCTTTCTTTAAGAAATATATAATTTCATTTCATATCAAAACCTCGGGATGTCATGTTCCGATACAGATCAAAAGAATAAACAAGACATTATAAGCCTTTCAACAACATATTACAACTACTGGCCATAATCCAAAAAATCTCTCATCATCCTCTGACTATGCTCGGGGTCCACTACCTGTAACATAAAAACCTGAGTGGGTTAGGCTTGGGAGCCTGGTGAGCATATAGGGTTTTCAACCCACAATAATAATAAACTTATTAAGTTCATCAATCACCAATAACCCTGATTACCCATTCCCGTTATCCTCACTTTACGTCCCTAAACACTTATCACAAGGGACCTAGCCTAAAGAATATCATCGGGATGGATACTACTGCTAAGGGGACTCCTCAGCCATACATCTCCTAAAGGCAACCATGAGGGGGATGGAGTACAGCAAATGAACACCCAAGTTCATTAACACCTACAGGTTGCGGGCCTGCCAGCGTTCCACTGGACTGTCTAGAAAAGTCCGTGGTCGTCATCCAAATTCCGCTAGATGACCGGATCACAATCACATCGAGGCCTCTCATCATTTTATTTCATCACACATCAACTATCTACCCATGTTTTACCCAACATATTTGTAGATAAAAATACATATACAGTCTAAAACTTGTATAAAACATCTATTCAACAGTCACCTCAATTAAACAATTAATATAATTACACATAGCACGTATTTTATAGAAAATACTTTATATCTAGGTGTAAGATGAAGTTGACTATACACTCACATGATTTACTGATAATCGGCCAGCACTTCGTTTCCTAAAACGATCGTTTATAATAAAACCGAGAGTTTTATTGAGAAACCGGGCTTTGCGAAGGTTGGGCTTCGAAACCGAAAAGATAAATTTCTCGGGCTTCTCGGGCACTTCGGGGCGTATTCCGGGTGTTTGGTATAATACTGGGGCTTTGGGGGAAGTTAGAATGAATGAAATATTGAAAAAGGGGCTAAAAGTGACAATTTTCCAAATATTCCCCGGGAGGTCTCGCACCCTTCTATTTATAGGGGCGAGGCTCCTGATCCAAGGGCTGAGAAGCCTCCACGCGTCAGCAGATCCGGAGCGAGGAGCACATTGGTTGCGCATGCGAGGTCCTGGTGGCAGCTTCTTAGTGGACCAGAGTCTAGGTCCGAGGCTTCGGACGTGGCACTGTATGCGAGGGTCGGACACGCGAGAAAGGGGTACGAGGCAGCTTCTGATTGGCCGAGCCTTCGGTCCGAAGAGAATGCGACACGTGTCGACAGGTGGCCTCGGATGACTCAGCAGATCGGACACGCGGCATGCCGCGAGCGAGGGTGACGTGGCCGAACATCAGCCATGTGAAATTCCTCGGATTTGGCAATTTTTCTCGATTTTCGTGCCAAAACTTCTAAAATCCATAACTTTCGCATACGAGCTCCGTTTTTGACGTTCTTTATATGCACGCGTAGGTAAAATTATGATGTACAACTTTCGTTTAGTCTTCGTCGGCTAATTTTGACTTTAATTTTTATATTATTATTTTTAACAGACCGGGACAGAAATCAGTTAAAAATTCATAACTTCTTCATCCGACGTCCGTTTTCGTCTGTCTTTTTACCGTTGTGCTACTATTGAACCTTCGATTCTCCTTTAGGTTGTGCCGGCTAAAAATCACTCGATCTAAAATTCGAGTTTTTAACTGTCTACTGGTAAGCTGAAACTTCGAAAAATCATAACTTCTTCATACGAAGTCAGATTTGGGCGTTCTTTTTCTACATACTCTCGGTTTAACGAACACTACAACTTTCGTTTAGATCACTAAGGCTAAAAAGTAGTTTACCAAAAACTCACTTTTTACGACATTCGGCACCGTGCCGGTTTTGTCGCGAAACTTTGACAGGTCATAACTTCTTCGTTATAACTCGAATTTTGGTATTCTTTATATATCCGTAATCCTTGTCACGACCACTACAACTTTCTTAATAGATATCAGCTTTATCTAATATTTATTTTTGACGCTCATTTTTATTCTTAATTAATTAAAACCTAATAATTAAGCATAAAACACATAATTTTCACATAATATTCACATAATTCCTTTTCATTTCTTCAAAATGAGTTACAAAGGTTAACCTAGACTATAACGTCAATATGAATGCCTAGCCTAGAAACACGGGCATTACAATAATATATATTATATATATTATATATATTATAGATAAATTATATAGATAGATAATATAAGAGAATATTATATGTAGGCTTTTGACATAAAAGTCCTTAAGTTTTCAAGTTTTTGGTTTGTCCCTGTGACGATTTGTTGTTCATTAATGTCCAAAATTTGCCAAGTTTTTTTTTTCATTTTTGTCATTTCTACAAATCTTTTATGTTTTTATCCTAAGTATCTTTTTCAAATTTGTAAAAAAAACCTTAAGTTTACAAATCTTATATGTTTTTTATCCTAATTATGTTCTCAAAATTTGACATGAAAGTCCTTAATTTTGTTAAATTTTGTCGGTTTTGTCCCTGTACACCTACTATTATAGGTAGCAAGGGCAAAAATGAAAAAACTTGGCAAATTTTGGACATTGACGAACAAAAACTCGTCACAGGGACAAAACCAACAAAACCTGACAAACTTAAGGACTTTTATGTCAAAACCCTATATATATATATATATATATATATATATATATATATAGTATAGATATATATATATATCTATATAATATTCTACCACTTCAAAAATCACATATTTTCTTTCATTCCATTCCAATTCTCTCTAGTGCCAATTCCATTATCATTTTCTCCAATTCCAATCTAATTTCATTTTAAATGGATTCTACTCCTAGCCAATCCCAAAGATGCAAACAATGGTCCGAATAGGAAGAAAGGCGTTGGTGAAAACTTACTTTGACACTTTGGAAAATAAATGCGGAAATATTTGACGGTGATGTTTTAAATGCAACAAAAACTAAGTGTCGCGAACGCCATATGAATAATTTTCCACAAGATGCGGTGTGTGATATTTTAAAAACCCACTTATTATTATTATTATTATTATTATTATTATTATTATCCTTGAAGTTTAATTGTCATTTTGTCATTTTATTTACCGTTTGTAGTATTAATGTTTTTTTAATTAAAAGGAAATCTAATTTGTATTTTTAAATTCTATCTTTTGAATTCCAAATTATAAAGGTTTAATTTAAAATAATAAATAAATAGATTAGGTTGGGAGAAAAGGATTTTTCATGTGTTGAAGGATGGAAAGGTGATGAAACTTTTTTTGACATTTAGCACGCAATACACAAATTTTCATGTTTTAAGCATCAACAAGCTTGGTTCGAAATTCATCTATAGTATAAAGCAATATCTCAAATCAACAAGTTTATCAAAAGATAATCAAGAAGTACTACAAAAGGTAATGATTATATGACATTTTGCTAAATGTATCTTCTTTAGTCGAAGCTAACTTAGATTATGAAAAGCTTGGGTATAGGGAGACAACGCGTGATGAAGCTGAAGAAGATATGCTTAAAGGCTTTATACTAAACCTTCACCATGTTAAGGACCTTAAAATTGGAGGTTTCTGTTCTAATGTAAAATTCTTTTCCTTTTTGTAAAAATCATATAATCATTACCTTTTGTAGTACTTCTTGATTATCTTTTGATAAACTTGTTGATTTGAGTGTTTGATAGGTTCTCTCTCGTTTGGAGGTTAAAGGATTCACTTTTCCATCAAATATGAAGCTTCCTGATGTTACATCATCTTCATGCCCTGATAATGATTTGTTGGATCTTGATTCTCGGTGATTAGTTGAAAGCAGAGATTGGGTGGTGTTGCTTGATCATGGTGTTAAATATTGTTTGTCCTAATCACAAAAAGCTTATGTCTCTGAAAGTTGTGACACTTGCATGAGTTTATGTATATTGTTGTAATTGTAAAACCCCAAACATTCTCCTGTAACATCACACACAAACACCATATCGATATCGATTTAAATTAATTTTCAAAAGTCTCTTTCATTTAAATAAGTGAAATTTCTTTAATTTCCCAGATTGATCATAATCTTCAGTACTATAATTTGACATTTATAGTACTGCCAATAAGGGCGCAATTATGAAAATAGGGCCTCATTAGGAATGTTGAGGTGGGTGTATGTGACTACATAATAAACGATGTATCGACCAACATGAAAACATGGTGTCAATGCAAGTATTATAAGAGAAATTGTATCAGCAAGAAGTTTTTAGGAGGTTGAAATCAACCAAGGTAGATATCAAGGAAATGTTTATCTTGATCAAACCTTCAATTAAAGCATTATGGTCTTTGGCTCAAAGGTTGCTCTACCTTTAAAATGTCGATGTGTAAATATTATTTTAATTATATTATATTTAATTAGGCAGTGGCCGCTAAGTTTCTTTTAGGGTGAATGTCGTGGAACGGCATGAGCCATAGGTCGGAGGCGGTACTGTTGGTACCGCCAACAACTCTTTCTGTGGTACCGCCAATTGAAAGAGAAGCCATGTTATGTAAATCGTTGCTACTCTCTCTCTCTCTCTCTCTCTCTCTCTCCTCTTTCTCTCTCTATCTCTCGTTGACCGTTTGACCATCGGTAAAATTTCAAATTTTTAATCCTTATTCCCAATATATATATATATATATATATATATATATATATATATATGGAAAGTTCAATAGAGAACCATTATTAATTAAAGAACCAAGTAACCAATCCAAAGCGTCGAAATTTAAAGCGATCAACGGCAAAAGGAAGGGTTGTAGACTTTTACAATGGACGTACATACACCGGATTATAACAAAACTCACTTCCTTTTTTTTCGTTTAAAATTTTTTTAGGCAATGTTTTTTATCGAAAAAAAACCGAGTATACCGTTGTTCACGATTTTTCGTCCTCTTTCCAAAGAGATCCATGAGGATATATAAAAAACGAACTTTTTTTTTTTCGAAAAAAACTCACTTCATTTTCTTTGTTGAAAAGTTAAGGTCTATTTTTTTATAGAAAAAAATAATAAATATATCAAAATTCAAGTTTTTTTTATACTTTTTAAACATAGATTCATATTCGGATAAAAAAAACTATGTTTCAGTTCAGATTCACATTGTGAACCTGTTCAGATTCATATTGTGAACCTGTTCAGATTCACATTGTGAACCTTCTCAGATTCATAGTGTGCATAATAGTAAGTCAGATTCACAGTGTGAATCTAAACTGATCGAGCTTTTTCCCATCCTGACTGAGGAGCACAAAGTGGTAGCGAGAAAGATGAGAAAATCTTGGACACATTTCGTAAAGTGGAGGTAAATATTCATCCTTTAGATATAATTAAATAAGGTCCTAGATATGTTAAGTTTTTAGAGATTTGTGTGCATCTAAGAAAAAACTAAAAATTAACGAAACCAAAAAAGGTGGCAAGAATATTTCTGCCATTTTGAAAAATAGGCTTGTCCCCAAAGTGAAAGGATTCGGGAATTTTCTCGATTCCATGTAAATTGGGAAACCTTAATTTTTTAAATGTCATGCTTGATTTGGGTGCATTAGTCAATGTCCTCCCACTATCAGATTTTGAAAAATTAAAATTAGGATCTTTAGAAAAGACCAGGACACTCATTCAGTTGGCAGATGACTCGACAGTACTCCCAAAAGGTGTATTGGGGGATGTTCTCGTCCAAGTAAATGAGCTAATTTTTCCCACTGATTTTTACATCTTGGACATGGGAAATTTGGACGTATATAAAATTTCAATCATTTTGGGAAGACCTTTTTAAAAACTGCTAAAACAAAAATCGATGTTTTTGATGGTACATTTTCAATGGAATTTGATTGTGATGTGGTTAATTTTAAAATTAATGATGCTGATTTTACTTCTGATAATTTTTCTGTTAATTATCTGGGTACTAGCAGTCTTTTATCTAAGGACTGTTGTGAGTTTTCTAATGCTTTTGTGCAAGATTTATTTTTAGATAGAAAATTATCTGACACATAAAAAGAGTTGGAAAATGGAAAGTTTTGGGAAATAAAGGAGAAAATGGTTATTGAAAAGAAGTTGCCAAAAGCTAATAAGCTTGGGGAGGAGGAGAAGATGATTTCTGCTGAGGAAAAATTAAGGAAAAAGATGAAAAGAAAAAAACTTTTGGAAAAAGAAAAGGAGGTGGTGAATGCTAAGAAAATCTGAAAAGAAGAAAACCAGAAGAGAAGGAGAAGACTTCTGAGAAGAAGACCAGAAAACAAAAAAGACTCAAAAATCTGAAAAACGAGTCTGCCGATAAAAATCTAAAGTCTTTCCAGTCTGTTGTACAGACACCAAATCCACCCATTATGTCACATTTGAAGGGATCTGGAGTTAGGAAGAAGAGAATTGAGTTACAGAGAAGTCCCAACCAAACCAGTTGAAAATTTGGTTGGGCAAATTCGAGCCAACGACTTTAAAAAAAGGGCAGCTTTTCGGGAGGCAACCCACATAATTTTAGTTTATTTTTTCCCGCATTCAATAAGAGATGGTCGCAGTCCCAAGCAAGTTTGGGGAAATCAGAGGATTTTCAAAGTTGCTAAAATTCAGATTTTTCGCCAACAAATTCGTTAAAAATTAGATTTTCTACAAACTTATCAGGTACATTCTTTCATAGCTGCAACCTTTTGCTTTTATATGCTTTATTGAGTTGTTACTTCCTCTCTGGGAATTGAGAACAATGCATCATTTTAAGCTTGGGGAGAGGGTTAGTGTCAAAAATTTGCATTTTGTTTAAAAATTTTAAAATTTTCAGTTTTTCAGTTAAAATTTTCAGTTTTTCTTTTTGCATTTTATTTTTTGCATTGCACTTTCATAAAAAAATCCAAAAAATAAAAATAAAAATATTTTATGTGTTGTTAATTATCTAGTCTTGAGGACATGAAATTTTGAAATATGTTATTTTCTCTTGCAAGGTTAACTAAGGTATAAAGTTTACATAAAAGCCACAATTGGTTTATTGGTTCACACCGTCAAGCTTCTTCCTGACTTTCGGAATCTATGAAAGATGGAAGGCATTATGATCAGCTTCTAGGTAGTGATTCTATTGGATCTTCCCTCGATCTTCATTCTGATCATGTGAAAAAAAAAGATTGAAGTGCTTTTAGTTCAAGTTTTTAGTTTCCTTTATTTTATTCTAAGTTCTTTTTATGTCGTCTACATCTTTCCATTTCAGTTATAATGTTTAATCTTTTTATTACTTGAGGGTAAGTAAGGTTCAAGCTTGGGGAGATTTGATAGATTTCATTATATGCATCTTTTAGGGTAGTCTTAATTATCATTTAGCATCATATTTTACACATTTGCATGTCATTAGTTTAAATAATGCTCAACTCATGTTTATCGTCAGAATTTCCGTACTGCTCATGTTTTTATATCGTTTTCAGATAGTTCGAATGGAGTGGTACTTTAGGAGCAGCTTTGGATGCATATTTGGAGCTTAAGGGAGCTAAAACACCCGAGGAAGCTAGAAGTTGGGTTGGATTCACTAAAACTGAAGAGTTCGCGCCCGAACAACGAAAAAGTACAAAAATGCGATCACATTTTTCCCTATATGTCATCGCATTAATCTGTCGATGATTAGCAGGGTCAAAAATACCAGTCTCAGGCAAAATGACCAAAAATGAGATCACAATTTCCCCTTTCTGTGATCGTGTGACAACCGTCAAATTTTGGTCAAGTCAAAGTCAAACAAAGTCAACAAGTCAAACCGGTCAACTCCAATAACCCTTGTATGTTAGGGTTTACGTTATGTAATCACTATACAATTCGCTATTTTAATGAGAAATCATCATTTGGAAAGTTCATGTGTTTGATTTTCCTTAGCCTTAACAGTGCTAAACAACGAACCAAAGCGATAAAACACTATTGCACAATCATCGGGATTGTGTACGACACTAAAACACGGTTTAACGGGGTTTATGAACCTTGCGTTGTGAAGCCGGACACTCAAATTAATCACAAACGAAACCTCTCTAAATCGTTTTCACTCTATCTCTTTCTATTTGAAATCTCTCCCAAATCTCTCCCAAAGACGGCCCATTTTTACCGGTTTTTCGACTACGACTTTGTTTTAACTCTGTTTTTCATTATTTTAACGTGGGATTTTCACCCAAAACTTTATTTTATAAACTAAGGCCCCAAAATATATAAATCTCCAGGGTTTTTATAAAAATATATTAAAAGAATTAGTGGTTGAACTAATTATTGAGAGAATATTTGCTTTTCCTTAATTTATGGCAAAAGCAAACCACCACCACCTCACTCTATGATTAGCCACTCTTTCCCACTACCCCTTGTCTCCTTAGTGGACATTTACACCCAATCTCCAGCTCTTCCCACGTTCTAAGAGCTGGAGGATTGATCCTCTCTCCTCATTCTCCATAAAGTTCTTTCATTCTACACTTAGCAACCAAGAACACTCTCTAAAATTCTCTCATCTTTTCTCTCAACTTCAAGAACTTCAAGGCTTTCTCCAGGGATTTCTTTCTTCAATTAGTAAGTATCTTCATCATTCACATAATTATTAAACTCCATTCTACTCAAATCATTGATATCTTACACAAATTCCATCTTATTCGGTGTTAGATTGTCGAATCATCAAGACATCTTCTTAGTGTTCTTGGGTTGAATACTTCCTCTCTCTCACTTTCATCTACTGAAACCACATAAGGTGAGTTCATACCCCTACATTTACATGTTTTTCTTAAGTTTTAAGGGGGGAATACAAGTAAAATCATCAAGAACACAATTAAACTTTTTCTAACAGATTACATCAGAAAAGATGGACTTTAATCACAGACTGTTTTTGTCAACTTAAATATTTTAGTTTTCAAAACTGTTCCAGGTGCAAGTAGTTCAAACTCTTAGCTTTAAAATGGCTACTTGCACATCTCCATATGATGTTTCTACAATTTATGGTGATTTTTACAAAACTGCCTATCATTTCAGAG